GACTTCCGTAACTGATTGGTGAACGTTCATCCACTAATGAGTATTGTTAATGCCAACAGTTTCGAAACAGTCTCATGCGATGGAAATGTTCTTGGTAAAAAATGAAACAGAGTGTATATTAAGGTCTAGTGTAGGAGCTCCATTTTCATAGTGTATATTAATGTCTAGTGTAGGAGCTCTGTTCAAAAAGATTATCTTCGTTAAATGAGGTACACAGTCGGCTGGGGAAGATTTGACCTTGGACCAAAAAAGTTTCCCCAAGATTCGAAAATTAGGCCGCAAAGACTAAGTGACTGATCCCATAAACCTTTTTGTCCACTTGTTTTTGACTATACTGTCGATTTTGTAAAAGTCCTTAATGTGCTTTTGAATTTCAGGCGCCATATTTGTTGTGATCTCTTCATTCGCAAATTTACATGGCAATACAATGGTATTTTATAACGGTCAAACAATCCTTTGGTTAAATTCAAGATGATGTTGTGCACCATCGTTACTTACAATTTATTACACTCCCTGCCCCCAGCTTCCTGCATATCTCCACCGTACCATAATTCCTTATTGTCATTACTGAAAGGGTATCCAAAATTTAAATACACCGAAATAGCCAAAAAATATACTTGAAACCCATTCTCCGTCTCATCATCCGCTTGCATGTGCCATGGACGCAGTTATTGCTGGTTATTATGCAAAAAATTTCGAACCGCTATTTCCAAATTGGTTTTCGACACCTTATCTTACCGTAAAAAGAAAATTTTAAACGCATCAGACGAATTAGTATAATAGCTTTTGTTTACATGACCTGCAAATCTGCACGCAAAACAACTGACTGGAATATATTACACCTATTTTCTTTAACCATAGATCACTTACATATTTAAATATATTTAAAAAACGTGGACAAAATCTAGTTTTGTTGCGCATTTTTATGCAAAATATACGTCAATTTAGTTGTTCTATCTCTAAATCTCTCCTGAATGGTTCTATATCATTTGCACTATCATACAAAATCTGTCAGATCATTAAATATTTACTCAAATATCATCTTATCCCGCTGCAGTTCACATCCATTTTCATATAGTACAGCACTAAGAAATGTATCATTTAGCATTAAGGAAAAGGCTGAGGCTTGTAGACTAAAGGAAACAGAGGCAAAAACGGCAGATTATGCTTAAATTACTTTGTTGAAAGGAATAATATCCATGAAACCAGAGTATAATTACTGAGTGAACTTATCTATACACGCATTATACGTTCAAATATACTTGATAAACAAATTAGTGTATCCGTTTGGAAACACATACAACATTCTTTAAATATTTTTATGAATAAGCATATCTCAGGTTTCTCAACGACTTTATGATAACGCGATTCTGTAGGACAGTGCAATTTTCATCCAGTTTAAATTTTATCTGTCAGCTTACTAAAATAAACTGCAACATACACAATATGCTTCACATCAGTGTCAGTATCTTATGAGAACGGCATCCCCTCGTCCTCATAGTATAGTGACTCCTTGGACTTGCGT